TCTCCATGTATCCATGTCCAAATTTCACTCTTCATATAAGGACACCAGTCCTAATCCCATATGACTTCACCTTAACTTGACTACACTTGTAAAGACCCCATTTCCAAATAAGGTCACATTTGCAGGTACTAAGGATGAGGACTTCAACATATCTTTTGGAAGGGACACAACTCGACCTACAACCACCTTTTCCCACATGCAGGGCAGAGTTCAATAACTGAGCAGGGCATCTTCCGCTGAGCACACTGCATACCACCATCCCCAGGCGGCCGGCCTGGCTGTACCTACTGGCAATCAGGGCTGACGCCTGAGGTGAAACTGATTTGCCACCACGAGTCTCACTAACAGGATGAGTCTGTACTGACACACTCTGGCACGTGGTGATGAGCTTGTCGGGGAGATCACGCAGGTGCCCTTCCAGGCCCAGGCCCGGTCCACGTAGTCTGCTCACTCCATGTATAAAGTAGGTCTTGCTGGGGAGTCACCAGACCATCTCCTTGGCCTGGCGGGTACTGTGCACACCTGACCACAGCCTAGGACTCACGAGGAAGGAGTTCCCACTGCTTTTTCTGGGTCCACTGTTCATGTGCATTGTCGGATGGCCTCTTTCCAACTTCATTCCCTGCATACATTTCTCCTCCCTACACCCCCTGCAAATTGGAAATACTGACACACAGCCAATCTAACAGGGCTATTGGGCAATTTAATTAATGTTTATAAAGCACTCTGAGGTCTTCGGATGAAAACTGCTGTGTAAGTGCAAAATTATTATTAGTTCTCAGCCTCCCGTCCCTTGACTCCTGACACGGGCTTTTGTTGTCCCTGAATGGGAGCCGTTTATGGGCTGTCCAGCTGGCTCTTTTGGGCACATGGGTGAGTACATACACATTTGCAGATTTTTTTTGCCTTTGAAAAAAGCATTCCAACTCTGTGGGATGTCTCAAAGCTTTTCAGTGTCTGAATTTCTCTCTACTTTTCTCTCCTAAGCACTGTAATCAACAAGAGTAGATTGTAAACAGGCTCCTTTGGCAAGAGTGAGGAGAAAATGGTCAATTTAAAGAAATAGCCCCTCTTATAATGAAGAATAAAACAATATCTCTTTCTCATGCAGAATCTAAATGAACCACTGAGTGAAGTCTCTCTCCCTTGCCCAGAGGGATACCGTATGTGTTTATGAATTGCAAGAAAAGAATAGAAGATTTGTTTTCAGTGCCCAAGTTTCACCTCCTTCCCTCACCCTAACTTCTCTGGAACCATGGAAACAAATGCACCCCACCCAGATGATGTTTCCCTGACAGTCCTTTGTTACCTGACTGTGCGCTGCCTGGGGTCCCACGGGAGAGTGAAATAAAGAAGTGGAAAAGGAAAAAGATACATCTGCAAGTGGAAACGCCTTGTCTCCGAAGGACAGAGTAGGGCTCATGTGCGATTTATCAAGCCCTGGGCTGAAAAGCAATGTTATATGGCACCATTTTCCTTTTTGCTAAGCCCCATCCCACATTCCCCATGCACAAACCATCACACTCCCTTGAAGGTAGCATTTGGTTTATCATCACGTTGTGTTAGTAGCATTCGTTAGTCAGCCAACTACTGGAAGATTTTATTTTAAAAAAATCCCTAAGGAGCAATTATGTAATACGCAATCAGTTGGACAAAAGTATAAAGGTACAGAACCAATGAAAGAATCAAATGTTAGTTGTATGGTTGTAAACACACGCCAAAATAAACCAAAAGGGCTCAGATGATGCGCACCAGGTTTCCTAAGTCAACCAGTCGCCGATCAAACATAGTATCAAATTATATAAGGGGAAAACCAGGCATATGCTTCCGGGAAAGGAACGTGGAGGTAGGAGTAGGCTTGGAGATGGATAAAACCTGCTTGAAACAGGTGAAGTCTACCCCTGCAGCAGCAGCAGCGTCATATTGGCTATAGTGACGGCTGTGAAACACCGGGAACCTTTTCTGTGGTCTATGATGATTAAGTTCTGCCTCTTGAGTAGAGGTAAGGATGGAAGGAAGGGATGGGTTCTTTCTTTGCATTCTGTTATTTTGAAAAAGAAAAGGAGGCCTAAGTTTAAAAATAATAACAAAAACATATGTACAGCAGCTAGGATCATTAAAAAAAACTGAAAATTGAAAAGAGGTGTGTACAGGAGCCAGCTGCGACCCTCCCTCCTCTTCTGTTCCACGGAAGCAGTGCTTCTTTGAGCTTCCCCTCAGTCTCCTGCATGGTCTTCCTGCCTCCTGTCTGCTCCAGTTCATTCATCCTTTGCTTTGTCTTCCTGGCTATTATCCTAAAATTGTATCTAAAACTATGGGTCTTCAGCTCAGAATCCTTGGATGCCACCCCTCTGTACACACTCTACAAGAGCTTATGCATCTTCCACAACTGTCCCTCCCTCCTCCACTGGGGCTGGAGGTGTCCTGTGCCTACTAAACTCCCACCCAGCTCTTGGTTCAGCATGCTCCCTACCCTCTGGCCCTTGCCATTCCCACCACCCATTCAAATCCTGCTTTTCTTTCTTTCTTTTTCTTTTTTTTTTTTTTTTTTGAGACAAAGACAGAGGCTAGAGTGCTGTGGCATCAGTCTAGCTCACAGCAACCCCAAACTCCTGGGCTCAAGCGATCCTCCTGCCTCAGTCTCCCAAGTAACTGTGATAATTACCTACCACTCCCGGCTAATTTTTTCTGCCTATCTTTCAAGTCCAAGTTCAAATGGAATCAGTTCTGCAAAGCCTTTCAAGGTGCTCTCAGAAAAATTTGGACACTCTCGCAGCCCTTTTTCTGTGTTCCCACAATTCTTCATTTATCTCCCTAATACTAAGTAAAACAAGTAACGGTGCATACACCTCTGAGCTCATTTCTCCTCCCGTCAGTTGTAAGCTCCCTGAAAGGAAGATTGTGTCTTGCTATTGCAAGTATTGCACAGAGTGCCTACGACAGTATTTTGTCCCTAGCAAATGCTCAGCCGATATACTTATGTTTAATTTCACCCATTCGACAGACACACAAACACATACACTACAAAAAAGCAGGTGGGAGAATCTTAATTTCCTATGCAATTTAAAAGTGAAAAGTAGAAAATAAGCACATCATCTTGAGAAGACAATAAATAACAATAGTAGACTGTGACCAAAGAACTGATTGATTGTATTTTACCAGCCAATTAGATCAAATCTGGCTCTGCAAACAGTCACTGATGAAACTAATTTGCAATCACTGGTGAATTAAGTAAACAGTTCCTATTCTAAGATTTTCAGCCTTAGGCTATTTTTAAATAGGAAAGATGAAGTATTAGACAACAACTCAGTTAATGCCACCAAATAAAGTTGCCAGTGAGGAAAGAGCTGGGGAACCAGACCGAATCATTCCAAGACTCCCGGCTCTCACTGTGCTGGGAGGTCAAATACATGGCCCCACTTTGCCGTCTCTATGTCCACAGGCTGCTGTTGTATCTCTTCTCTTGCAAGTCCAGCAAATAATCAGGCTCTGTTGGACTCTGCTGGACTCTGTGAGTGCGGCTCAGTGTTCTGTGATGAAACCTGCTAAGTAGTAGTATAAACACAAGAAACCACAGGCTTTCTTTTGGAAGAATGTGGAGCTGATATTCATGTTTGTATTTGTGCCCTGGGACATCCCAAGGCAAAGTTATTATAACTGTAGATCTAATTCCACGGACAAAGGAGAGACCTGAGAACAAAGCCTTCCTTGGCAGTGGAGACAAAGAATAAATATGGTCCATGATCACCTACCTTCCTCTGAAATGTCTCAATAGACCTCAATCAAGGTGGTGAAAAACTAGTTCACTCTCCTTCATAAATTCTGTCCTCCCCTCCTCCCTTCTCTCTCTTTCTCTCTCTCTCTCTCACACACACACACACACACACACACACACACACACACCCCTTTTCTGATACCAAAGACTACGAGTGAAATGTTGAGTCTACCTGCTCTCAAATTCCCATCATTCTAGCTTAAGTCAGTCTGAACGGACAAGGGCAATTCTCCTCCCTGGTCTCTCTTATCCTGTAATTCCAGTGGCCATGAAGCATTTCGCTTACTCTGTATTAATCCTCTGAAAGGAACAGGGCTCCCTCACCAAGTCAATTCATTTCTTTTAACAAAACCACCTTGTCAAAGATTCATGGTTGCTGACTCTTTCTCTGTTCCCTTTTTCTCCTTTCTTGTTCTAGTATCAATTGAGGGCTTACTGTTTGCTAGACACCAGGCTTAGCCCTTCCATGTATCATCTCATTTAACCCTCACAATAAACCTATTAGGCAGATATTATTCTTATTCTAATGGTCTGCCAGCTAAGGCTTAGAGAGGTAAGTCTCCTGCCCAAGGTGGTACAACTTCCAAATCACGTAGCTGGGCTACAAACTCAGGTGAGTGAGAACTCTCTGAGCTCTTAATTGCCATGCCAAATGCTCTCCCTGGCACTTCGGTAAAGCATTTGAGAATAGGTTTGATTTCCTTGAAATGGAATTGACAGATTTTAGAGACATTTTACGTGCATTCATCTTTTCAAAGAGCCATTCACCTATGATGCTTTTATAACTATTACAACCACTTGTACCAGATTGTTCTTAACATTTTGGGGGATAAGGGACCTATTAGAGAATCTTGAGTGAAATCCCATGATTCCCAGGCACAAATCCCGTGACTTTACATATCTTTCTGAAGCAGAAGCTCTCCTTCTTTCCATTCCTCCCGCCTGTTGCCATATATGTTGGCACGAGCTGGCCGTGTAGCGACTGGGCGGCAGCGCACCTCCACGATGGATGCAGGAGCATCTCCGGGAAGCAGGGTGCTGTTTACAGAGGTCCGTTGCCATATGCCCCCCACTCCCAGAGGAAGCGCTTGCCAATCTTTCAGCTCTTATTTTGGATTCTGATTCTCAGATTAGTTTATAGGCATCCTAGCACTCATCCCAGTGTCTGACAAGTAGCGTCAAATAAAAAACAGAAAAGCACTCCCTGTTAGCATGCACACCTTTAATGACATGAAAGCAATGACACAAGAGGCAAACACTCAACTTGGTGACCCTTTTACTCTCTAATACCAGTGGGAGCAACGCACACACTACTAAAGCGATAAAATTTCTTTGGAAAACAAGAAGGGAAGGGCCCGTGTTTGATCAGAGAAACTGGACATATTGCCACCAAAACATCAATGCACCATTTTGTGAAGTCCCTTCTGCCCGTGGCTCCCACACGTCTGTATCTTCAAGTACTTTTGTCCGGTGCTTCAAGACCACAGAACTGGCCTCCTCACTTCCCCAAGTGAATTCACACAGAAGACTACGGGAAAGTCTCTTCGTAACCTTCTTTGTTCAGAATGATGGAGAACATGAGAAATGAGAAGCATCCTCTCATCCCCAGTACAGCGTCATAGTAGTGAGGACAATGGCCCAATAGAGTTTCAAATATGTATAGGGCTTTATATTTTTCAAAGCATTTTCACATATGTCATTTTAACTAATCCATGCAACAACCTTCTGGTTTACAACGGAGAAAGCAGAAACCATAGGAACTTGCCCCAGATCACACAGCTAGGAGTGGGACAAACCGGGGCTAGAACCCAGACTGCATGGCTGGCCCAGCGTCTCCAGCAGGTCACTAGACAGCTCTCTATCCCGCTGTCACCCTCTCCGACTTCTTCTCCCTCTCCGTTAACAATTCTATCTAACTATAGATTTCAAAAGGAGAGAAACACAAACCCTCCTTTGACATGTACACATAGATACAAAAATAGACGTGGCACTCTTCTTTATTGCTTCTTGATGGATGTCTCTCCCAGATGAAAAGACCCTGCGGGGGACAGTTCATTGACCTGTTATTTCTTTGTACACATAATACTCCTTAGTAATAGCAGGACCTTCACACCAGGAAATTATTTGCTAAATATTTCCCACTGTCTCACAGCGTGGCCTGTCAATGTCTCCCAGACGTAAAACATCTGGGCCGGTACAACAAAAAACAGCAAAATTCAAAGAGCTGTTCCCCAGATGTGGAAGAGGACAGCTGTCCTCGGGAGTCTGTCACAGGGCCAGCTGGGGGCGTTCACATCTCCCAAGACCCTTCTCCAACTGCATCTCACTATAGCTTTTATGACTGAGAAAGTGTCCAAGAGGTTGACCAGATGGCTGCACAAAACACGAACAAGGTAGTCACAGAGAAGTAGTGATGGTTCTGTGCTAGCCGGTCATGTCGTGGTTTTCAAGCCCCGGCTCACAGAAGTAGGGTGAGATCCCCTTTCAGACATTTCCAGTCATGCGAAGGACCTCGTAGGAAGGATGCCGTCTTCAGCACGGGGCTCATTCTCCTCTTGTCCGGCGTCACAGACATGCACACCACTGAGCCCTGGACCTCAGAAAAAACAACCTATGGAAATCCTGTTCATACCAGTTCTGTCTTGTGAAAAGTCACTGGCCCCGACTGTTTATCTGGGGAGGTATCTGGAAGAAAAGCTCGTTCCATTCCAGGTTTAGAAAAATCTGGAAAAATACTCTGTAGTCGTGCAAATTTCTGAAAAAAAAATCAAATAAAAATGAAGTGAATAATTGGGACAATGCAGCAGTTGTCACCTCCATTTAAACCCTAAGGGCTGGCCACACGACTCATTCTGGAAGCCCTCCCTAAACTCACCGCCTCACTCACTCTGCAAGGGACTTGCACGATGACATGGGCATCTCCTAACCTGGACCGGGAGATTTACTGATTATAGACTGTGGCCACTTAAGCCCCTGCTGTCAGATATCTGTATGGCAAGTCAGTGCCCACGGAAGCAGGCATTTGCCAACAAGAAACTAAAGTCACTCATTTTTAAAACTTACTGTCTGGGAATTCTCATTATTTTTTCTTACGTGCAAATAACCCTAACAAACAAACTATTAAGCTCCTCGAGGCCAGGAACAATGTCTTACACCTTTTTACACCCCATACAGTGCCTATCATAATGCCTTGTATGCAGTAGGTGCTCACTGGAGACTTCTGATCAACTGATGTCTAAAACAGAAACCAGAGCAATGAGTGCACAGCCAGAGAGGCAAGTGAGTGAGTAGCGGGGCACACTGAGTGACAAGGACCAGCCCTGATAGCTCCTGGCTGAAGTCTGTCCTGGTCCCTAAGTAGCCAGCCCTTCCTGGGGTTCCTGAGACATAAGGGGCAGATCACTTCCTAGTAGCTCAGACCCACAAATGGCCCTACCCCCTCATGACTGTGGTCACCCCAAGTGAGCAGTCATGCAGAAGGCTCACGGGGCTTTTGGCTGGAGCTCAAGGGCATGTCTAGGATGTCCCAGCACCAGTCAGCCATCTTCCCCCATTGGGGACTCCCTGGGTCCCCCACTGCTCTGGCTTTTTGGGGCTAATTCTTAAGGAATGGGTGGAAGTACCAAAAACATTAGGGGAGAACCCCCAAGAGAAAACAGTTCGAGGGCAGGCAGAGGAGACTGATCTACCCCTGGGGCAGCAGGCCTCGCTCCCTCGTCCGCAGGAAGAAGGGGCTCCGCTCTGGGACGGCGCACAGGCAGAGCTGCGACGTCCAGCACTGTCACTGCAAGGCCTCTGGTCTTCCATGGGACCCTCTGGCATTCCTCAAACTTCCCTCACAAATCTTACTTCATTTCCCTTCCCAGTGCTCTGTGTGTGGCCAGTAGATAAGGAACGAGCTGGGGGTAGCTCAGGGAGTTCTCTGTGATGATCCTCCCAGTCTGGGGGCCTCTAGAGGTCCAGGGTTCCCAGAACACTCTCTCTCACCATGGTGTCGATGTTCTAGAAAGATACTTACACAAGTGAAAATGATGAGTGTTAAGTAGAAAACGACCAGAGCCAACAGCAACACAATCTCAGCTCTGTACTTCTTAAAAGTCTCTTCTTTACGTTTTGGAAAGCATCCTGAAAGAAAACAAAGAACTACATGAAGCCACTTTAACGGGATTTTTCTACCATGATAAAAGGCCATGAGTGCTTTGTTCTCCATTCTGAAGCCCTGCCTGTCTCTCACTCCTACCTTGGGTCTGTGCCATCAGGATGAATGACAGTAACGGTGTCGCTGACAGCAGGGGCAGCAGCCAGTGGTCACTGCCATTCTGTGCCCGGCTGCGTACAACAGGACTTGCATACAGCCTCTCCCCCAATCTTCGGAGCAGGCATCAGTAGTCCCAGTTTGCAGACGAAGGCGCCGAGGCTCAGAGAGGCTAAGAGACCACGGCAGGTGGCAGAGCCAGGTGTCCGGTCCAGACTTAGCCTGCGGCCCGTCTGCCTCCACGTCAGATGCTGGGCCTTGCCTGGCTTGTATTTTGTCCCCGTATCAGATCAACCCGCACTGGCTACTCCATAAATTATCTTAACATGTCCTCACTGCAGGAGGCTTCGGGGACGATGAAATGAAGCAGGTGAACTGACCGGCTATTGCTGAGTAAGTCGCCATGTTTTTGTAGACTCGTTCAAGCTCTCCCACCAGGGCGGCAGCATGAGTGGGAGGGAGAACACTCCCTAAGGGCTTGTTAAAGGCTGAGGCTGCAGCACTCAAGGAGAGTGGAAGGAGTGAGGCCTTCAGCCCAGGAAGAGACATGGACGGGAGGGTCTCTCCCTGCTCGGGTGGGGCATCCAGTGTGCTGCCTGGGGAAGCAAGTCTGGCTTTGGCTACATCCACTGTGCTTGCTAACGGGGTCTGCGTGAAGGCCCAGGCAGGAGCAGGTGGAGTGCGGGTTATCGGAGGGGGTTCCTCCTTGGAGCCTATATGGCTGCATCTGCAGAGAGATGTCAGCCCTAAAATTGGATTCGACATTTCATGCAATGGTCTAGGGATGGATTCTCACGAGGGTTTGTAACTCAAGAAAAGAGGCTGAGAGCCATTGACCTAATGGTCCCAAATACTGATTGAGCATTCAGTCTGCCCCAGGCACTGCGCTCAGCATTTTAGTGCAGTTTCTTGCTTAACCTTCACAACAAGCCTGTGCTGCCCACGTTATTATCCCCCTTTTAGAGATGAGAGAACTGAGGCTTAGAGTCAATCAGTGATTTGCCCAAAGTAACACGCTAACAAGTGGCAGAGTTAATATTTGAACTAGATCTACATGACTCCAGAATCTGACCCCTTAACTTGGAAGCAACACTGTCTTCAAAGAGGGAAAGGAGAGAAAAACAGCTATTTTCTGTCCATGTCCCTCTGCTCCCCGCAGGACACACCTCCCCTCTCTACGATCCCCCATGAGGTTCCTCTCATTTGTCATTCATGCGAATAATATTTATTGAAGGCCCACTGTGTGCCAGAATACGGCAGAGTACACAACAGAGAGAACTTATCACTCTCTTAGGGCAGACAGACAGCAATCCAATCCACACACAGCACATGAGTCGTACCAAGTGCCAGGAAGTCAAAGAAACCAGAGCAGAGGGCTGGAGGTGGAGGAGGGCCTGAGGGTGTGTGTGTAACACTGAGCAAAATGCACACACTGCCCCCCATAGAGTGTGTTCTTGTGAGTGTAAGAATATTATCTTGAGTCTGATTCCTTTCAGATACTTGACAGAAGCAGAAAGCAGCTATTGTACAAAATGGAGGGCTCTATGACAGTTCGTTTCTCATTTCCAGCCTCAGCCCCGAATAAGTGTTAGGCAAAAGTCAAACAAAAGGAACAGCTTAAGCCATAGAAAGAAAAGTTATGACATTCTTGCAATGGAATTCAGCTTCAGCCACAGAGGTGATCCACAGCTGCAGAGTTAGGCTCCAAAAGAGAGCGTTGGTAATAGGCCCGATATTAAGTGCACACGCATTTTGCAAGAGGAAAACAAATGCAGCCGGTCACCTCACCTGTCACTCTCAAGATCACTGTGCCGCTTAGGTTTCTCTGTCCTTCCGGGTCCCACAGAGTGCACCTGTATGTCCCTGAGTTGCAGCTGGTCGTGTTTTGGATCTTCAGGGAATAGGGCCGTTCGCTGGGAGCGTCGGCAGAGCCATTTGGCCCCTTCTGAAGATGGTGCTGTTCCCCGAGGCGCAGATCTTCCTGGGGCGCCTCCACCCTCTCTGCGCTGCCCTCTGTAAGCTGTGAAGAAGGAACCACAGTGCATCACACTCCACCGCAAGCACTGGGACTCTACACCAATGTTTTCCATCTTGTTTCCATAAAATCCATCCTGAGCTAATGTTTCTAAAGCAAGACAGTGTGCTGTTTTTGTATGTGTGACCTTTGCAGGAGCTGGAGAGAATCTATGGAAATTCCTTAAGGCTGTATCTTCTTTGGAATAAGAGCAGGACCGCATCTTATGATTCTATCGTAAGTATCCCAACTTCCACCCTATATACAGCACAGAGTGTTGCTGTTGACAATGGTGATGTATTGAGTATGAGTCACACTGGATTATATTCTGTTATTGATCGTACTGTATTAAATGTTCTCTTGTTTTCTTCAGACACCAACTCGCCCGTTGGCAGATCCTTATTCTTGTACCCTAGCCTTTTATTTGTAAAAGTTCCTAAATCTCTTAAGATCATTGCCAGACAACTCAACTAAGACCAGAGATGCAGATGAGCAATGCCTCCTGGAAACTGCCACCTTGTTCTTCAAAGGCTGTGTGTCTGTGTGGTCACGCCCGACATAGCCAAATGTGCCATAGTTTTTTTCTCTACAAGGGCAGGAAGACAGCTGTGAAGAGTGCCTTGCGGAGATGTGACGTGTCAGATCATTTGGTGGTCATGTCAAACCATGCACGAAGGGCATCCCCCCGATGGGGGGAGATGCCCCATGTAGTCAAACAGTTAACCTAGCCGCTTCCTTTCCCTGAACTATCTTTTTGATTAAACTGATGTGGTGTTTTCAGCATCTCCCACTTCAAGGATGAGGCACACATCATATTCACCATTCACTCTCTCTTTCCGGGACATATTTTTAATTTGCCTAATTAACTCGCCAATTGCTCCTCCATTGAAATGTTTTAAAGCTTCTAAAATGGATTTACACAAACAGTAAAGCAAATCCCTGTTTTCGGTGCTCACGGGCAGCCCTTCAGTGTTCAACGTCGGCGTCCCCTGGTAGCAGCTGAGCTGCCTTTGCTGGTCGGCTGGGGATCAGCAGGGAGCCTAGGATTAAGTGACATTCCCTATCTGTCCCGAGCTTTATAACTGCACCCAAGAGCCACCTTAGGGAAAGGGACGGAGATTAGCAGGCCTCACTGCCACTGTCTTTGCCTGCACCTGCCAGTGTTTAATCTCCTGTTCCGGGAGCACCCTACAACTCTGCTCTGATTTTTATTAAACGACTCAGTGATGGAAAACAGATAACCAAGGAATTGGGGGGAACACCCTATGAAGCAGCTCAGGCAAGAAAATACATCCATGCACGTGTGCACACTCACACACACACACACACACACATACACACACACACACACACTCTCTCAGTCGTTTCGGCTTCATTTATTAAGTTGGGGAATGCACTGCAAGGTCACCCGACAGCTCAGGCTCAGCCTTCGGTGCGTGTTAGCATTCCTGTACAGTGGGCTACAGAGACATCTGGTGGCAGATTTATCGCTCCTGCAAGAAAACCTGCTCAGCACCCTCCTAGCACTGGGCTGAAACTAATGGCTCTTCTCAGGGCGAGTCTATATACATAAATCCCATTACTTGACGGTCCTTCTTGTGTTGAAAGGTTCCTTCCTAAATAATCAAGAATCTACAGGAGGAAGCTAAAAGACTGGGGCCTTTGGGTATTCAAAAATAAAGCAAAAAATGTAAGTGTGGCCAAGGAAACTTAGAGGAAACTGAAGGTATCCAACTGATTCTAGAACACGTCTAATTTAGCACAATTTTTCCCTTTTCAAGCCTAAGTAAACCACAAACTGCGGTCTCATCGTGGGCTTACAGTCCCCCTCCCCTCCCCTCTGCTGCCTGGCAGCGGCCCTTCCTCCTGCCAGGCAGAGCTTTCAACAGGCCAGATGCCCAGGGCCATCCAGGGCCAATCTGTGCCAAGGGTTCCCCGAAACGCCACTTTGAAATAATTAGCTCAGTCCAGTCTCTGCAGTCCCCGTGCCGACATGCCACCCTACTTCTCTTTTCCAATTTAACCTCCAGATGCAAACGTGGCTGCAACAACCGGTCTGAGATTACCTGCCTCTGGGAAGCTTCTCTCCAATCCAGCGACCCCCCTCCCCACCTCAGAAAGGCCCATCTGAAAGTCAAGATCAAAACTGCGAACCCCTCTGGAGCTGGTGGAAATATAACCGATTGTGCGCATTTACATAAAGATGGCCCCATTATCATTATCACGCTAGCTGCTGGGAATTGTTGAAGCAAGGAGGTGCTGGCGAACTGGCTGGCAGCACCTTCTGCCTATTTGCAGAGGAGAATTCGTTTAAAAAAATCAGCAGCAAAAACAACAAAATGTAGTTAATTTGATGGTCAGATTTCCATGGGCCTCTAGTTATTTTTAAATGGCAAAACAAAGGCAGAGAGCCCATAAGGACAAAAAGAAGAAATGGGGGGAAATGCAAAACAAAGAACCCCAAAGCAACCTGCAGAATTCTGATTTGCTGAAACAAATGCCATCCATCGGTGGGATCACAGCAAAATATCTCAATTCTCACTGGGTCATCTTCCAAAGCCCCCTTTTCCTAAATGACCCAGAGAACTACTGGCACAACCTGGGAACTCTTGCCAAACTAATGAACAGCACTGTGCCCAATAACTAACTATAGCAAAAAGAGTCTTCTGTAAATTCATACAATTCATAACCCTCCCTTTAAGCTTCAAGTTCTAGGTATACACAATCCGCATTTCCTCTTCCTTTTGCCATTTTAAGGTAAACTTTCTTGCGTGATCCCATCTGAGGAATCTGGGATTTGCCCAGAGTTGCAAACGTAGCTGTAGTTTTTGTGTTATGTTGCATGTTCACAATGGGAGTGGGACGCTAGCAGGATCTAGGGACTTTGTGTGCAAAAGCTCAAATCATTGTCAGCCACGTGGCCAAGCAGCTATCACCCAACCTTATCAGATGAGTCAGCTGAGGCAGAGGCACCACTAAGAACTGAAGGAGAAATTTCAGTGGGAGGAAAACAGAGTAACAGCAAATGGGCCATCCTTACTTTGCTTTGTTTTATGAGTTCTTATAGACACTGGAGCTGGCTCAAAATCAACCACTGGCAAGAATAGCTCTTTAAACATTCCAAATCTAAAAGTGTTCCATTGCTTCTCTGCAAAAGCGTTTTAGGAAATAGTAATTTATAACAAAAGGAACCCTTGGATTCATTCACAGCCAACCATAATTGACGGGAACTATTTAATGCACACTTCACAACACTAATATTGTAGTAGAGTGCGCTAAAGCACAACACAATTTCAGCAAATTAGTTCCTCAAAACACTCATCCCAATAATGTCTTTTAAAATTCACACTTTGTGCATTAACTTTTATGCTGACAACTCTATCTTTTTGAGTTGAAAAATGCAAATGTGGGACATTTCATTTTCAGAAAGCCTAGGGACTCTGACTTGTCTCAAAGCCTCCAATTTCACTAAATAATTTAAATACCATATTCTTTCTCTCAAATGGAGATTTGACCTTAAGGAAACCACAAGCCTTAAATTAAAATAAACTCTCTTTAATTTGCTGAAAGCTAAATCAAGCAAATACAAGTACTAATTTTAAGGGCAAGTGAATGAAGTCGTTTTTTTCTTTTTTAAATGATGGACAAATTTGAACTAGAACAAAGGAAATAAAATAAATAATTAAATATGGCTGGAATTGAACCAATATTTCAAAAATCCTATTGTGGAAAGTGTTTTTTTAAAAAAGTTTACATAATGTTATCCAAATACATGCCAACCTCCTAGACAAGCATATTTGAACCTAAGAGGTCAACAGTTCCATTCCCATAGCAAAGAAAGGGCTTTGATCACAAACTTGAAATCCAAATTTATCATAAATTAGATCTGTTAAGAATGTGACAGGAACCTAAAAAGAAAAAAATGATTTTTTTTGAGGGGAGAAAAATGTGTGTACATATATGTGCATATAAAAAATCCATCTAACAATTTCATGAAACATATTTCAAGGTAGACTTTAAGGATTTAAAGGTGGTATTAAATTAATCTGATGTATTCCAACCACATTGAACAGCTTATGTTTTTACTGCATTTCTTGTGCACTAGCGTTCATGTACCTTGGTTTCTAACTCAATTAAAGTGCCAATATAATCCCCATTCATCATAAAAACAGCTCTTTATAACGTGCAAAATAGTTTGGCTCGGAGGTTGATGTCATAATGAGGGTAGAATGTATGAGCATTAACATCGTTTTTTTCTAAGTGTAGTTTTATTAGAAAAATGATTTTCCACTTTGAAATTTACTAGGTCTAACAGACAGAGCTGGATTTATGGCTGTTAACAGAGTTATGAGTATAGCAGAGGCAGCATAATTAAGAGCACAGGCTTTGGCATTGGACAGAGCTGGAACCAAACCCCAGCCCTCCCACGGCTAGCACTGCTCTTGGCCAACTCACTGAAAACTCTCAGGCTTGGTTTGCTCCACTGGAATCTGGGGGTGATTACATCTCAGAGAGCTGGTGTGAAGATACGTACGATGTACATGGACCCCAAGCACAGTACCGATCCCACAGAAGGCTCTAAAAATGTTACTGCTCTCTATTTTTTTTTAATAGTCAAGGTTTCATTCAGCATACTAAATCGTTCCCTGCATATTGGAAGTATTCAAAGAGTGTTTGCTGAGTGAATGACTGAATTTTGGAAACTGTAAGAAAGTTGCAAGAGCAATGGCTTTGGAATTCAAAGGCCTGAAGTCAAGTCCCAGCTTGTACGTTAGTTAGCTGGGTCATCTTTCATAAATCACTTCACCTGAGTCTCATTTCCTCATCTGCGCTACCTTACTTGCCCATGGGGTTATTAGAAAAATGCTTTATAACTGGTAATGTTGGTAGTAGAAACTGTTGTTATATGTGATAGCTTTCCAATTCATCGACCTATTCTGACATTTCCTTACCACTGATAATTCTCGTCTCCTTTCTGGTGAAGTTGTCCTAGAAGTCCCAGTCCC